AAATTAGCTACGGTTCAGAGTAACGACACTTGGCCATATTGTGGCTTAAAATCATGGTTGCCAGTTATATGAAGCTTTATCTAAAATCACAGGAAACGCTTTTCCCTCCCTCACAAATGTTTAAACAACCCGCGACAGAGCATTGCAATATTGCATCAGCTTCCTAGCACCGCATCTAATGCTGAGGAAGTCGTACTTTTAGATCACGATGATCGGCAGTTGCGTTTGCTCTGAGCAAGACCCAAAATGGCGGCGCCCAAAACAATTTTGGGGAACGGAGTGCCGATACTTTAAAGCTCATTTAGTGACTCTAGGCATAAAGTGAACTCGGGTGTATTCTTTTCCTCTTCGTCTTCATTGTTTATTGATTTCAATCATATCGAATAATGAACACATTATATCACGCTACGCTTGTGTAAATATTGGTCTTAGATTTATTAGCCTGACCCAGTACTTAAACCATTCAGTTATCGATAGTAAATCTTCCAATATATTTTTTAAATGTGAGGGTAAAAAGACACGGAGATTGATGATGATACAGACGCCAACGCCGCCCTCGGAAATTTTTTGAACATTAGAAATCAGCAGTTTGTCTGCCATCCGCCAGGTAGCGCAACAAATCACCCAAACAGTTTTTAATTGTTTTTAAAATTAGCTAAGCTCTACACCTATTAAGAAACCAAAGAAATATCATTGTGAAAATTTAATACATCGCAATGTATATCTATTCCAAACTATAAATGTTATTAAATGCCAATAAATCTGTTTGATGTCCAAAACAGATATGCGTCAAAACAGGTAAGTTTGAAGGGCTCCTGGAGCGTTATGACTTTGAAAATGAAAAAAAGCCATCGTCCACCTTTTGGGGAACCATTGTAGCTCTAAATTTTATAAAAGATTTTATCATAGTTTAATTATTTCTTCAGCGGCATTTGAACTACCATGACACGAAGCACAAAAAAGTGCTACGTTTGATATAAAATATCTAAACAAAAAAAAATTTACACAACAATACATTTTTTTCTGCATATTACCAATTATAAGCACTACATCTGTAGCTAATTTCATTGCCCTAGCTCTTGTCATTAAAACATATTTGTGCGGAAAAATGTCAATTTTAGGGCAATATTTGGAGGGATGAAAAAAACAAAGTAGTGCAAATATCAAAAAAGTGGATCGTTAGATTCTGCTCCGACATCATCTTAACAAAACTGCTATATTGGAACCGTGCTATCTCTAATGGATCGTTCATAAAACATGAACTAGCGGAGCAAGTGAGGGTCCGCGCCATCATATTTGCAACGCTACAAATGCGCATGAACAGTAAAAACCAACACATACATAATATCAAATGAAAGAGGATTGCATTGCCTTTCAAATGACATCAATCCCACAAAACAGTATTTAAAAGGAGATGAGTAATGGCCTGCCGAAAAGTACCTAAACTGCCACATTCAGTGGGACCGTGGCCTTAACATTAATAGACGATCTCAAAATCCACTTGAGTGCTGCTTTAAAAATTGTGTTGCCCCAATAGCACCGTTTTTTTTTTTGTTTTTTTTTTTGCTTTTTTTATATTTTATCTTGAGTGGACGGGGGGAAGGTACGTGGGACGTTTAGAATTTTTTTTTTTTTTTAGTTCGCAAAATCTGCTCTAAAATGCCATCCCCCCACGTAAAGTTATTTCTTCCCCGTGATCAACAGACTCGAACTCATCATAACCCAATTGTCATCGGGAGTCCTCGGAGCCCCAGGAAGGAAAAACCGCCAACTCTATTTGCTTAAACATTTTCTCAATCTCCAGGAGTCTTTATTTCTCCTAGAGCTAACGAGTGTCTTAGTTTTCAAAAAGAGAGTGCAACGATTTTTGTTTTCTCGGTAGATACCGCTTCGAATAAATCCTTGACTCGGATCACCTACAAACCTCGTAATAGTTTTTGTGACAAATCAGTTGCAGTGGCAGATAAAATTAGTGAAAACGAGTAGCGTTGTCCCTGTCGATTTTCAGTCAGGAGGGCCACGTGATGCGGTTCTGATTTTGGGCCACCCGTGTTCGCCAACAACTATGCATGTACTTTGGCAAAGTTCAGGGTACATGCCGAGGTCTGAACAATGTTAGGGTTTGGATGTTCCTGTCAACGGAACGACCGAACACCAGGGCCGTAACCAGGAAGGGGGGGGGGGGGGGGGGTTAAGGGGTTCTGACCCCCCCGAAATTTTTTTCTGGGTACGGCCCTGGTCGGTGCACTTGCAGCCAGCCGATTTTAATCTCCACCTCTGCGCACGCGCAGTGGCGCCTGTCGGCTACCGGATACCAAACCGGGACCGGTTCTCCGGTTTGCTATAACTCTCCATTATATGCCACCGATGCTCATGATTAATAGGCTAAAATAAGACTATAGACATTTTCAAAATGGCCGCCGTTGTCCCCGAAAACTCCCCCCCCCCCGAAATTGTTTTCTGGGTATGGCCCTGCCGAACACTATAGTTACTACGCAACTGTTCTCGATCCTTAAACGAGTGCCCACGCAGTGTTAGTGTCCACTACCTGAGGTGCATTCGATCATCATCACCAAGAGGTAAGGAGCGCGAGTACGTCAACATTATGATAGCCGCAACTATTTCAGTATATTTTGCAAAGCGAAACATTTAGCCTTTGTCCTAGAGATGTGACCGGGCCGTTTCTGTCAGTGGCACTGCTGCGAGTGTCCTTGGGTGTGCCAGTTTGCTTGTGTAAACCGAGGAACATCTCAACTGAATATCGTTTCCTGTGCAGCTTAAACTGTTCATACTTCTGACAACCTCAAATTCTTTCACGAAACGCCGTAGATAAGTACATGGCTGCTTAGCGCCTAAGACGCTGAGCTGCTTGCGCGCTTGATGCGTAATTTATATCATCAAGGGTACAGGGTGTGGCATTCTTTAGGAGGAATGTCGTTTAATCCGATGTAAACAGCACGCTTAAATATGGCGTGGAGTGTGAAGTGAACTGCTAAATCGCTTAAAGGGATTATACGGTCAAATTTCGTACTAAAGAAAACATTGAGACCTCATTGTCAATGGCTGTCGGAGCATCTTCCACCCAGTTAAATTAATTGGGATTGTGTGAATATTTACACAACGTGTAGTTGGTCAGCTATTTCAAAGTTGCGACGAGTCACTCGCTGTAGATGAGAAATCTAGCCAGCGCAGTAGAACCACTAGCCTGGGGTCTTTAACGTGCACCACGCAGTAGTGGTACGCGACCCCACGCCGGTGCGATGCACATCCAGATCGAAGCGGGCAGGGGTGGGGATTGAACCCAGGATCCCTGGGTTCTGCAGCGCGAGCTTTCGCTCCACGTGCTCCGAGATGGTGTGCGCTAGCTCACTCGGCCACCGATTTTCCAATTTCCGGTGGTTCCCTGGACCAGCATGTGTATTTTCAAAGCAGCGGAGGCTCTGACGTAACATCAGGCAAAGAACGCGCAGAAAAAACGTCTCTCAAATGAAAGCAGAGCGGGGACAGCGGGGATGCCTCAAAGATGGCGCGGAGGTTGGATAGTTCGCGCGGCCGCCGAGAGATGGAGCTAAAAATGAATGAAGTCTATTAACGTCGGGTGACCTAAACACCGCCTTAGTTTCCCCGCTAAGTTTAAGGAAAAAATTGACATCATGTGATCCGATATAACGTCAGTGCTAAAACCTCTTTTATTTCTTGTGTTTATTAATGATATATCCTCGACCATTAACTCGTCTATAAAGCTGTTTGCGGACGATTGTGTTTTGCATAGCAGGGTCCACAGTGTTGGTGATTCGGATTTTTTACAGTTGGATCTGAATAGAATATCGGAATGTTGCAGCATTCGGGAGTTAGGCCTGAATGTGGATAAGCGTGGACATGCCATTTTTGGGAGGAAACATAACCCTGTCCTATCATGCATTTTATTGATCATCATAAATTAAGTAAAAACGCTGATGTTAAATATCTGGGAATTACCTTGTCAAGCGTACTTTTTTAATGTTCATGTCAGTGAAACTGCCAAAAAGACCGGCCGAACTTTAAATTTTCTTATTCGAAATTGACGCGGTGCTCCACAGAAACTAAGGCAGACAGCCTACTGTTGTTTGGTTAGACCAACACTGGACTACGCATGTGCTTTGTGGTATCCGCACCAAAAGTACCTTGCAGATAAGTTAGAGAAACTTCAAAACCATGTGCCGACATTTGTAGGAGTAAATTGTAGTAGAAACAACAGCGTTACAGAGATTAAAAATGTACTTGGTTGGGAAACTTTATCGTTAAGACGCAAAGATTTTTTATTGAGGTTCATGCTCGCAATTTTTAAAGATTTGACAGGTATTGATGAAAGCAAATACGTAGAATTACCTAACTATATTTCAAATCGTGTGGATCATTCCAGAAACATAAGAAAAATTTTCTGTAAAACACCTTATAAAATTTTTTTTTTTTCCACACACAATCGCTCAGTGGAACCTGTTACCCGAATATTTGTTTTGTATTAATGACGACGTCGGACCATTTACCACAGAGAATGGTCTTGATTTTTTTAATGTTGTTACTTATGTTTATTGTTTATGTATTATCTTTCTTGAGCCGAGGTTGTATATTCAAGTGTTCTGTTTTTAGTACTTTACAGAGCGTATTAATCCATGGGCTGTACCTGCTATGCCGACGTTTCCTCGCTGCATGTTTTCTTATGTAAATAAAGAAAATAAAGTGACGTATACAACGATTTAGTGTCCCCGCTTAATTTGGCGGGGAAATTGATGTTACGTGACATTTGCACCATAGAAGTTTCCCCACTAAAGTGATAACATATAGTTTCTTCTTCACTCCCGGAAACGACTCTTCAATGTCTTCTACACAAATTTAAACGATTCCTCCTTAAATTTAGCGTTTCATGGATTGTAAAACTTAAAAGTTAAAGTTTTCTTTTTTTCTGTTTTATTATCTGTTGAAGCAGCTTCAACTTGGGTTGTGCCCATCTTTGAATGCAGGCACTAGGAACGTGATCGAGGCGTGCATCGCACAGAACGTTCCGCACTTGGTGTACACGGGAACCGTGGGAGTGGACGACGGCACCGGCGGTTGGGGAGACTCCGTAGTCGAGCACTGCCACCAGGGACCATACGCAGACACCAAGCACAGGGCCGAACAACTCGTGCTGGCGGCGAACGCACGTCTCCTGGCAGACGGTAAGGAACCCAGTCAGCACGACGATCGGGAACATCCCTTGAGATGTATTGAAAACTAAAGCCACGGCATGGGCTGTTTAACTTTACCTCGAAATACAGGGTGAAACAAGGAGACGGTAGGCTCTTTAAATCGACCGGAAAATTCGGTTTCTTAACCTATCGCGCTACACCTTTGTGCAGCGTTGCCCACAGATGGTGCTTTTTTTTTTTTTTTTGTAAAGTTTGCGAAGAGCGAATTTACCTGAGGAAAAAGTAAAGAAAGAAAAAGGCTTAGCTCCTATGGAAACGCAGCGAAGCTACCGGTCTTCAAACAACACGGCGCCGTTTCGCACGGGACACAAGAGATGGCGCAACGAACGCCGCCAACGAACGAGCATACGGCGCCGAGAGCCAGCGTCTTTAGCAGACAATCTTTTCGACTCAAAAGCGGCTTGCGTTCCGCAGGCGGCGACAGTCGCGGAAACAAAAACAGGCGCGGCAACAACGAGGAACTGCAGTTCCTTGTCTGCTAAATACGCCGGCTCTCGGCGCCGTATGCTCGTTCGTTGGTGGCAGTTGGCGTCGCGACCGCTTGCGCCATCTCTTGTCTCCCGTGCGAAACGGCGCCGTGTTGTTTGAAGACCGGTGGCTTCGCTGTGTTTCCATAGGAGCTAAGCCTTTTTCTTTCTTTACTTTTTTCTCAGGTAAGTTCGCTCTTTGCAAATTTTACAAAAAAGAATGCACCATGTGTGGGCAACGCTGCACAAAGTCGTAGCGCGATAGGTTAAGAAACCGAATTTTCCGGTCGATTTAAAGAGCCTACCGTTTCCTTGTTTCACCCTGTATTTATTTTAAAAGATCGAGGTACTCATAAGAAGTGCTTAGGTATACCTGACCAGGGTGTAAGATAGACAGGTGGGGAAACGAGAGCCAAATGAGCGACCAGATTGTGTCCCCCTCGGGTTTCTCTTTGTCTGTGGCGCCATCTATGTGGAGCACCGCGAACTCTCACTCCGGGTAGGCGACCGGTGGCGACCAACTAAACTGACGGAGATGATTTCTCGTGGATTTTCAATGGAGGACTGTCGTTGTCTCGGTTTATTTCGCACACTCTCCCATTGAGTTCCATGCAAATCCGATTCCAATTTTTTTCCTCTCGCCGCAGCGCCATCTGTCGCAAATCGGGGTTGCTCGCAAGCAGACGAGTACACAATCCGGTCACGGCGCTGCGGTAGGCTTCTATGGGTCGTTTCCCCACTTGTCTTTCTTACACCCTGTACCTGACGCTGACTAGAGTTCCTGTATAGCTACCTACGGTAGCAGAGTTGCGCATTCACCCTCGGCGCGTGGCCGTAGCGCCGGCTTTCCCACACGAGCAGGATGCTTTGCTCCTCACGTGACTAAATTTGGCGAATAGCGGCGGCGCGCGCGCCGCCGCGCATGGAAAACAGGAGAGGAGGAAAAGGAGGCGGAAAGCAGGGAAACATACGCCGGGGCAAGAGAAACGTCGGCGGAGCGACCGTAAAGGTGGCTTTCTTGCACGCCAACGGATGCTTTGCTCCTCACGTGATGGATCTCGGCGAATAGCGGCGTGGCGGCGCGGGGAAAACAAATGCGCAACTCTGGCTCCCGTAGGGAGCCTATACAGGAACTCTAACGCTGACGGAAACACAGCGCCATGAGATGGCTGGTCGTTGAAACTGACGCGCAGTGTCAGTTTCAACCACCGGTCACCCCATGGCGCTGCGTGTCCGGCGAATGGGAAGCTTGTTGACGCGCGCTAGTCAATCGGATCGCAGCGGTGTAAAAGGTGCCGTTGGCTGTAGACGCGCGCTAGCAAATGGGATCGAAGCGGTGTAAAAGGGCCGTTTGGCGTGGTTTCAAAGCTGATGACGTCGGCTCGCTCCATGAGACAGTTAATGCTTATATTTATTTAAAAAAACGAAATCCGCGAAAGGTACACTACTGTGGTCTGTTCAGTTGAGTTAGGAGGTCAGAAGAACAGAATATAGGAGGTTGACTAATCGTCGCGATAAGTAAAAAAATTAACTAGAGATCGGTAATTAGCTTTTAAATTAGTGAAAAGAAACGTAGGGCTTCATTTAGAAACTTGCTGAGCGCAATCTAAAGCCACAAAATCAGTGACTCGCAGAATAATCTGAAGCATGTGGTAAGCGTGGAGGTGCGTATACAGAGCTTCCACTCTTGCCACAGGGGCAACACTGGCGGTAAGCAAACGCCGATGATAGTCTTTACATCTGCGTTTATGACCGCCAGCGTTGAGCCTGTGGCATAATCTTCCCACGGCCGTAAAATACACCCTTTTCAACGATCTGCGCCATCGCCTGTCCTCCATTGCTTTTGACCACGTGCTCTGAGCACGTATTGGACACGAGGGGTGCGGCTGTGTTAAGTGAGCACTTGGGGCCAATCAGTGCGCGCGCTTCGTGTCCATGGATGGATGGATGGATGCTAAAGGCAATACCCATTGTAACGGGCGGTAGCTTGCGCCACCTAGCCTAATGGCGACCGCCAATGTTACTCGATGTACTTTTGAAAAGAGTCTATTGACCAGCACAGCCCGCGTCACTCTACCTTTCCCCGCTTAAACAAATATGTTCGAATTAAAATTAAACACCCTGTATAAACTACGTCGCTCCATTCACCGCTTTTCTTGTAGGGGCAGCAATTTTGGTGCTCGAAGCATAGACAGAGCATTTCGCGGTCGTTACGATTTGAAAATGCGACTTTCTGAATTTCACGGTTGGTTTCAGGAAGCTCAGACGATATCGCTTTGATTCGCTGCTGACTGCTTTAAGGTGCAACCCCACCCTTGGTTAGTATGATTCCAAACCAAGAGATGGCGGTGGGATCGCCTTCCAGGCCTGTACATCACTGCGAGAAATCTTGTCTGGTGGCGCTCCGATATAGTGGGGTATTTTTCTATATTCTGAATTTGACATTACTAGTCCCTTGCTTTTTGTTTTCTCTGCACCAGCATTCTTTGGAACGCGCACGGCCGCGGCAGTTCTCGTGCAAGGGGGCTAGTTGCCTACGCTCCGAGCAGAGCCGTATATGTAGAGAGTTTGGCCATTCGTTGGGAAGTATAGGATGCAAATGAGGAGGCGCCATTGGCCAAAAGCGGGCTGGGCGTGTTCCAGGGCGTCTTCAGAAATTCGAACGTGACCAACCAGAAGCCGGAAATAATACCCTGGCGGTGGTCGCGAGAAACAAACCTGATAACTGCATTGGAGTAACTCTCGATGGCTGAAAATATGGTACACGTGATGTTTCAATCACGCTCATCCAAAATGATGGTGGAAGAGTGCAACTAGCGGAACGATCGACATAATCCGTACGCCAAGCGCCGAGCGCCGGGAATCTGTCGTCCGAGCGGTCACACTCTGTCCGCGCCAAACAGAGTTGAGCAGCGCGTTCGTTTCTTACATCTTTCTGCATGATGATGATCAAAACAACACGTGCATTGTATTTTCAACCACGAAGGGTTGCTACACCTCACTCTTACGCGCTTATTAAAACCATATACGAACATAGACCTTTGATCAGAACTGTTTCTCGCTACCACCGCTAGGGGATTCTTTTCGGCTCCTGGTTGGTCAAGAGAGCAAGCCAAGCCCTCTTTCCGAGACTGCCGCACGCCCTGGCTCTGCCCGCGCCTCCCATTAACCAAACTCTCTACATATACGGCTCTGGCTCCGATCTCACGTCTCCAGCAAATGTGGGCAGAACAAAACACGAGGAAGCAAACAGAAGGCTGGAGAGGACTGGGAAACCTCTGTCAAGCATTCCGTCTGCTTCCTCCTCCCCAGTCTCCCTTTCCATCACCCTATCTTCTTAGACTGTAACTTACTTTAGTGGTGAAAGTGCTTGTGAAATGCAGACACCTTCAGTGGTGCAACTTTTTTAGAGCGCAGCTCTTAGGGGCCCGTTTCCAGCCTGAGCGGCGTCGGCGTCGGCGTAACCGGGGGGGGGGGGGGTCACGTGACCCCCCCAGGTCACGTGACCCCCTCCCCCGAGATCACGTGACCTCCCCCGAGATCACGTGACCCTTCCCGGGGTCACGTGACTACCCGCAGGTGACGTGACCCCCCTCAGTACCCTTCCCTACTCCTCCTCAAGAGCTGCGCTCCAATTCGGCGTTACAGGGATTTGTAAACAGCTTTCATTTTTGTAGTTGAAGTATATCATAGGCAAAATGGCGAGATACATGCACAACAAAACCACTGACGCGTTGAAAAATATAAAATTGGCTGTGCGCCGTTATCGGAGATTGCAGAGGCCAATTACACATATTTCAATGTGATCAGATTTATATTGTCGCGAATGAAGGTGACGAGAGGACGAACAGTGAACTGAAAAATAAAGGTTTAATTGGCGACCTTGTGCCAAAGAAAAAAAGTAAAGAAAGAGCGTCGAGGCAGCAGAAAAGCAGACGGCAATTCGGCAGCGTAACAGAGAGCGAAAGCGAGACTGACTCGACAAGGTCTAGTCTACAGTGCGTCACCATCTCGAAAGCTGAGAAAAGAAGGTTCGAGCGTCGCGCGCTCGGGGCTAGGATGAACTGGCACTTTCGAGAACAAGAACACAGGGCGAAAGTTACGTCTGGTGCAAGGATGAACGCGAATCTTCTGGAAGTCCGTGACCGGGCGTTGCTTTCTCGGCTCTGAGGGCGGCATTATGACGGGCCGGCCCTTTTGTCGTGCACGTCTTCGGCTCTTTGTCGATTTCCAGGAAAACGTGATGACGTGATAGACTTGGGATTCCAAAATTCTAGCTTGAGGAATTAACTGCCTAAAAAATCAAAACAAATTAACTATTTTTTGGGCGGTCAGGTGTCTCATTTAGGTAGCTGGGTGTCCATTCTGACAAAAACCACGAGATTGGAAAACACAAAAAATGACACTCATGTTTAGATGTGGAGTTTGGTAATCCCAAAGTAGGGACTGGTGCGGGAGTCATAATAAGAAAAAAAAATGCCGTGTTTAATAATTAACTTACAG